CCGAACAAACCCCTGTGCAGTGCGAAGGAGGAACCCGAGCTGTTCGCAGAGAAGAAGAAAGTAGCGACAGAAACAAAATTGCGGGAGGTGCTGTTGAGCAGAAACAGTCGCGACATAGCTGCCGAGCTGAAGTAGCAAGCACTGCACTCGACGACGACGCACGACACAGCCAATGCGAGGTCACGAAGCTTTGCTAGACATGACGACAACACGATGCAGCCCGACAACGCGAGCTCTTTAGCCAAACGAATCCGAAGATAAAATTGAAGCGGTGGAAATTAGAGTACGACGTGATATTCACATGTAGCAGACGCTAGGGTTCGCCGTGAGGCGAAACCCTAGCAGAGCGGAGACGATGAGAAGCTTCAATGAAGCCATTATATATATATATGTATGTACATACATATATATGTATGTACATACATATATATGTATGTACATACATATATATGTATGTACATACATATATATGTATGTACATACATATATATGTATGTATGTACATACATATATATGTATGTACATACATATATATATATGTATGTACATACATAGATATATATAATCATCTTCTGCGCTCAACTGTATCATAACATGTTTTCCGTCGAAATGACTCACCTGCCAATCCCCAACCAGTTTGAAGTCTTCAAAAGCCTTCCTGATGATCTCCATCTTAGGGCAACCTAATTGAAACTTTTCAACTAGTGTAAATTTGTATTTTCCTGCACGAGTTGAAATTTCAGCGTCAGAAAAGAAAATTGGTGGTTTACCCGCCTTTTTCTCTACTTTTTTTATGAGATTGCAATCTCCATTTCCAGCAATAGAATCATGATAAATTTGCGGGAATACCGCACTATCTGCGAGTTGAAAAGTGGAGCTGCATTTGTGAACCATTGTAGCATAGGATGGTTTGGCGGAGTTATCACCGGCGAGGGCAGCGTAGGAAAGCCCTAAGGCCGTTACCGTAGCCAGTGCCAACCTGCAACATAGTGAGAGAGAACCTGCACGAGTGTCAAACGGCTTTGTCGCAGATCGGGTGGCTCTGTCGCAGAGGAGACGCAGTAGAAGCAGGAAGGTGTCGAGCGGTCAACCGACTGATGAGACGCAGCAGAAGCAGCTGTCGAGCAGCTCTACCGACTGATGAGACGCAGGCAGAAGCTGTCGAGCGGCTCTGTCGCAGACGAGACGCAAGCACGACCACAACACTGTCGCCAGACGAGACGACGCGAAAGGGAGCAGACTACGCAAGCGCGAGACGAAGCGAGAGACACTAGGGTTCGCCATGGGGTGGAACCTAGGAGAGCGGAACAACGACATGGTCTGACTTGGATCTGCTCACACAATGGTTATTGACAAAAAATCATTATGGAATAAAAACCATAATAGTGCAAGCACTGCAAGATGTTTGGACACCCGCAAGATAAATGTTTTAGGTTTCACCTATAGTTGATAACCAATAATCAAAAGCAGGAACACACTATTAGTGTACCCCATGTGCCTGAACGCGCTCCCAACAAATCTGAGGAAGGAATTACCACAAGACAGGAGTTGGTGTCTGCCGCTGGGATCCCTTCTCCTGACTATGTTACAATGTATAATGTTGGAACTGAAAATCAGGATAGTCCCGCAGCCCCTATTCAGGTAGCATCAGGTGCATTCAGGTAGCATCAGCCCTATTCAGGTAGCATCAGGTGCAGAGGTAACAATACACACTTCACATACATTGGAACCTATCTCGGTGACAACAACTGTCTTTCCTCCTACTGCGGTGCTAACATATTATCAGATCGAGGATTACATGAGCCAGTCTTCCGATGAAGAATGACAGGTTTACACTTCTCGGCGGAAGAAGAAGGCTGGAGCTCACTCCAGAGCTGCTGGAGCTCACTCCAACTTGGAAACTTAATGAATGATACTTTGGTGATTCCTGACAATGACACGACTCTTCAAAGTTTGTTATCTGCTTTCTCTTCTAAAACTAGAGGAAGAGGCAGAATTAAACTGACTTGTTCCTAGCTACTTGTTTTTTTGCATGTTTCAAATTTGTTTTACATTTTATTGAGTCTATCTCTATCTTTTTTTTTGGGTATTAGTATTGTATGATAGGGTGCCTCCTTTGGGCTCTTCTCATACTACCTTTATGTATCCTTTTCTATTTGTTTTACATTTTATTGAGCTAAATCAAGCCGAACACGAACGAATAAACTTTTGTTTGTGTTTGACTCGTTTGCTTAACGAACGAATTAAACACGAGTTATTTAGCGAGTCGAACACGAGCTGTTCGCGAACAACGAGTTTTTCTGATAGCCCTGTCTTAGGCTTCTTTTGGGATTTTTTTTTTCATTCTATTTTGTGTTAGGATATGTACAAAACAAAGAACTCTCTGTTTTTGAAAAAATGAGAAGTTTTTTAGTTTTTATTATAGTTTGGTTCATAAAAGTTGCCTTTGGGAAAATATAATGGAAGTTGCGGCCTAAAGCCAGCTTAATATAACTTTAAAAAAAAAAAAAACCAAATAAACCGTTCTAAACGAAGCCTTAATAATCTAGTATTTAAGTCCTTTAGACTAATTTTCTTTTGTTTTCTTCAGCCAACATGATTGGTATAACATATGGAAGTTTTTTTTTTCTTTCATTATTTTAATGTAGAAATTTAACGTATAGAAAACTAAGTTTAGCCATTGAGCATTCTATTAAAGAGTAAAATTATTCAAACTTTCAGAAAGGATGAGAAAGGATGTATCAATATTTATAGTAACAGCCGTTTATGGACGGTCATTTTGTTCCTTTGCATTTTCCTTCAACTACTGGTTAACTTCCTAATGAGAACATGTTATTTACGCACTGTATAAATTCCTCTTTTAATTCCCTGTAGTGTTATTCGTGGATATAAATAATCAATTATTTTCCAGCCTGGCCTTCTGATTTGTTGCTCTTCTCAAAATTTTTGTAAAAAAGTTTCTAACATATTTTTCATCTAAAATAATTACTAAGAATCTTTTAATCCTTGCAGGAAGATTATTGACAGCATTGGTTTGCGAATATCTTGATTGGGCTCAGCTTGGTCACACTCTCAAGGTTTACTTGCCTGAGTGCAATTTGGTGAGTTTTTTCATATCTGGTTCATGAAATTTTGCTGCCTTCCAATTCAACAATGTTCTTAGCCATTCCTCTTTTGGCTAATGATATGATTGCAGGAAAAGGACTTTTGGAAAGCTGAGTTACGTGAGTTTAGTAGTAGAGATGGCTTTGATATTAATAGGAATAATGAAAGCAGGCCTGTGCTTTTTGATGTGCTTGAAGGTTTCCTGAAGTCACAGGTATTGGTATTGCTCTTTTTGTGTGTGCGTGTTATATATATATTTATATATTATCAAATGTACCAATATGTACAGTGACACACTGACATAATAATGAACTTTATTTATAAATTCTAAGAATGCAATGCAAGCATAGTTTCTTCGGTTTTTTGTTATTCCCTGTGTGATAGAACGGTGTTTAACATCTTTTGAGGAACTTTTCAAAAATATCTACCAGATTAAAATTCACATATCATGTATAAATGTTTGATGATATGTAGTTTAGTTTAAACATCGGATGACAATTTTTTAGAAAATGACATGATCGAGAAACAATGTGCTCAAGGATAATATTTTGTCAGATGCCTTTCTGTTTATAAAAGTTGGGTTATCTAGTATTTCTATTTATATAACTTGATACTGTGGTGTTTATGACCTAGTGTAGGTGCCAACATATTGATAGGAAGTTGCTCAAAATAATGTTGGAGGGAGGGGATGTAGAGAATGGGAGATGTAAGAGGAAGAATGTGATGTAAGAACATGATTATCAATTCTTTGGGTACTACACGTGTCTATTCATGTTTTACTTGGAATAATGACACTAATTCTTATTCTAGAGGTTGATAGGTTAAAGAAGAGATTAATTTCTTTGTAGAAACGTGTTCATTATAGAGTTAAAACTGTGTGAAAGAAGTGCGAGATTAATTTCTTTGTAGTCACTCTTTTTTGATGATATCTAAAATGAGCTTTTTCCAGACCATATATAATATGAAAAGGATTGTCAAAAAGATCCTTGACTCTTTGCAGTGGGTCATTTTAATCTGAGTTTATAAGATGTCAATTTTGCCCCTTATTTTTAATATTGGTTGAGATAGTCCACATTGATGGCTATTTTAACCCTCTTTAGAAATATCTTGGAACTGTTTTGGCACTTTTAAGACTTTGGGACTAAAGTGCTCCATGTAAATAATCAGAGAACTATTTTGACACTTCGCTCTATATGATATGTTTGGTGAAGTGGATTTTTCCTTCAAGGAAATTACTTTTGCATGCATTATATTCATGCACTGAAAATGCCCTTTTTTAGGATTAGGCACAGAGCAGGGATTAGATGTCTCATAATGGTTGATTTAAGCATACTACATCTTATCTGGGAGTTTTGGCGGTAGCTTAAAGTTGGGTTTACAAGGGTAAATTTGCATGAACTGGAGCTTATGATTAGACCTCTAGGCTTTTTTTTTTTAAGTAAAGCTGTTTTCATTTTAGGAGTCAGAAAGCAATTCCATCTTTTGTTGTTTTGCATATTTTCTTTTTGATGAAATATTTTTTCAAGTTCATTAATCTTTTTTAGCATTTCATATTGTAAATGAAACAATTCCTTCTCTATTGACTTTTCTATCGACATTCATTGGCAACTTTTGACATTCCTACCCCGCTGAAGTAATAATTTTGAAATCAAAGGAACATTTGTTGTTTGACGTATATTTTGATTTTTCCAGTGTAAATGGTGCATACATTCTAGTGTAAAAAATGATAATCATGCTAATTTGGTGAATTGATGCATCTAGGGTCTTCCCTGATTTGGTGTGTATGATTTGGAGATTTGACAAGGTTTTACATTAAAGGCAGGTTTACATACATGCCACCTAATTCGTATGTATTTACATATCTATCACCTTAACTTTGATTTTTACATTCCTTACCTATGCATGAAAATGTGTAATTTGATTTCTAAAAGTCAAAATAGTGGTATTTTTATAGTGGTATTTTTTATTTTTTATGTGATATGAAAGATTTGATGGTATAAATGTAAAAAATAAATTTTATGTGTAAGATTTGTAATACCTAAAAATTTGGTGGTGTGTTTGTAAATCTACATTAAAACAAAGTGACGCATGTGAGCTGCTCAAGAGATATGATTTAGTTATGACTCGGTCAATGAAGTCTTTCTTGGTCACTAAAGCAACATCAAAATGCATTGAAATTGTTGCTTGTGCAACTTAATTCTGCTTCATCATGTGTCTATTTAGGGGTTTTTAAATTTGGTTGATGGTTTTGCTCATGGATATTTACTATTTGCTATTGGGAATCTGTGTAACAACCTAGTCCAAGTTGATTGGGACAATCTTGTTTTGTTTTTTTTTGTTTTTTTTTTGTGAAGAAAGTTGAATGTAAAATCCGGTTTCACCAGGTTAATGGGAAAAACTAATAACACGTGGATTAGACAAGGTTAAATTTCGAGTCAAAATGATCTAATATTTAATCAAAGGGTTTGGTTGAGTTATTGTGATGTGGATCAACATTCTATTGGGTAACTTCCTAAGATCCTTTCTCTAGCTTTTTTGAACTTTTTTCCTTGGCTTTTACAATTATAATGTGGAGGTTCTATTGATTTAATATGCTATGGGTGCAATTCTTTGAGGCAATTCTTCTCCATTGTTATGTGTGCAATTCTTTGGTTTAGCTTTAGTGGCGTTCTTGCGTTGCTACTTTTTTCCTCTACTAATGAAATTTCTCTTTTTTTTATAATGATATATGCCACATTTTAAAGGAGTTTTAAGGGGATTTTATATTATCAATAATGGTCCATTTACCAAATTTTTTTTTTAATAAATCACTTTCTTGCTCTGGTTTAACTTTTCGATCAAGTGATTGAAATTTATTGCAGGGGTTATGTCCCTATCCAAACATGAGGCTTGCTTATTTTGCTATTCGCAGCTTTCTTTTAACTCTTTTTTTTTCATCTTGTAAATTTACTTGTTGGATTGGTCGTGCAATTGATTTTAATCAAATTTGATATAACCTGGCTTTGGATGAGTGCTTGAATAACTTTGTTCTAAATTTTTATTCATAATTGATTCAATTTGATTTTTCCCTTTTTTTATACAAAGTATCTAATTTTTATTTTTCACTGTTATTTATATGTTAAATTTTGTGTGCTTGTCGTATGTTTTTTATTTTTCACGTTAGATTTAAATGGGAAGCTTTACAAAATGAGAGGCTGTTTGGATCACTTTTATTATTTTTTTAAATTTATTTTGTTTATATTTTTATTTAAATTGAAACATGTTTGATGGAGTTAATTGTTTTTAAAAATACTCAAAATATCTTTTAGTTGTTTTGAGTATTTTTAAATTTAAGTTGATTTTTTTTTAAAAGTATAAAGATATAAAAATTATCCGCCAAACATATTTTTCAAGAAAAAAATAAAAAATAAAAACAAAGGTGAGAAATAAAAATTAATACCAAATGGGCCCTAAGGTATCAGACTTGGTAATCATAACATGAATTCACATAATGATAGGGTTTGTTAGCACTGCAATAAAAGATTCAGTGTAAGTGAAATTAATTTAGCTATGATTCTAGATAATTTTATAACTAATTTGAGATTAAGAATGATATTCTGACTGTGTAATTGTAGGATATTTTCAAATTTGGTAATAACTTGGAGGAGTTTTTTTGTATCATATGATGCCTAATTTCAAAATAATTGATTTTTTTATGTAAAATTAATGAAACTCGCTTAATATTTTTTGTTTATTGCCATTGCTAAATGAAAGCTGATGTAAACCATTAATTCAATGGATCATATTTTTTATACATTAAGCAAAAAAATGAACTTCATGTTCAATTTCAAGACTTTAAGCATTGTGAATATAGTTTGCTCAAATTTGTTCTAGTGTTTTGATTTCTTGAATTTAAATTTTTTTTGTGTAAAGATTAGTTTGTTATCAATATCGTTTTATTAAATTTGTTCGCAAGTTATTAAGCATGATTAAGTTATAGTTCACTCAAGACAATAGGGAAGACGTTATGCAACGTTTTAGGTTTGAGTAGTGTTACAATCATCTTCCTATTCCTCTTAGAAATGTTACATCTTTTATTAATGTTTTTAACAAAAGTTATGAGAATGTCATGTAAAGCCTGTCAAGTACAGTCATGCAACTTTTGGACCTAAAACCGAGATAACAATACCAAGGTACAAATATCTTTTTTGGTTAGATTGATCACATTGGAAAAACTATAATTCATGCATATTCTCTGAATAAATTTATAATCCATATTAAAAAAGGATCAACAATTATAAAATTTTTATGTATATGATTTTGTTAAATGTAAACCTAAACTTGATGTTACACCAGAAAATGTTCATAAAGACGAACCTAAAATTGAACAGTAGCTAAATCTAAGTTTAAAGTCGAATGTGCTTGATACCATTTATAAATGAAAACTACAAAGAGAATCTAAGTGTATCCTTGAGTTTTTAATTGAATAAATGTACATTCTAAAATTGATTAATCTATTGAATAATCTGATAATGCAGCTCTTGATGAATTTGTATTGAAATTATCTCTGCGTTTACAAGTGAAATTGATATTCTTTTTATTTTTTTGCTCTAGTTTTTTTAGTTATAAAATTATATGAAATTATTAGTCTGGTGAAATTTACATACCAAATGACTTTTTAATGATGCTTGCTTTTAAAAGATATGATAGCTACAATTTCATAAATTTCATTGAAATCATAGATAATTAATTCATCATTATAATTATAGTAAGCATGTTTCATTTAAATCAAACATATGTGGCTTGTCAGTTATGAAAATCAACTATCACCTATTACGAAATCCAATAAATATAATTTTTAAGGTTTTCTTGTCTTTTCCTCTAGGAGTTAGTTGTTATGTTCCATTAGGAATCATCTAAGTAATTCAGCATTGGATCATATAATATTATGTTATATGCATAATCATAAACATTTGTCAAATGAAGATGCTTACCACACTTTCATACATATGCCTCAATATGACTCATCACTAAGGGGAGATCCTGCATTAATTACCACAATCTTGAAGCGCTGAAGTGCAATTATATTTAGCGTTTATTATGGGGCATTTACATACATACTGCCCAAATGTATTTACATATCTAATGACTAAAATTTTCTTTTAACATTTATATCAACCCAATCTTTCATATCACATAAAAAATACCACTATTTTAAATAATAAGAAATATACC